AGTGTCAGACAAACCTCACACACAGACAGTCTTGACCATTCATACATCGAATCGGTAGCAGCAGGCAACGCCGCAGTGCAGTAGTTCCGTGTTCCAATGTTTCCTCTCCTTCAGTCCTCACAGTGACAGAAGGACTGGCCGATGATCAGATCCAGGATCGGTTTTGGTCCCAGCCGAAGCATCCGGATGACATCATTCTTCAGTGCCGTGACATGTATTTATTGTTTTGTTGTAACAGTAACTGCTGCTTGGAAAAACATCCCCAAAACCGAGCAAGGTCGCAGTCCCTCGCTCCCTGCCCAGGACAAAGCAATGGATGCACTCCCCCAACTACACTTTCTGTGTGCGGTACTATCCACGCGTGGTGGCACTGCAACGCTGTCCGGCTGAAGCTGTACCGGAAGGCTGCACAGTGCTTCTTTATGGGGGATGTGTGTCCAGGTTGCAAAATTCAGAAGCGTTCAGTGGTTGCGGTTTTGAAGACTTCTTCTTCTTGATCATATTCGATGCGCACATGCCTTTGTTGGTACTGCCTGCTTGCCCAGTATCTGAGCGACCGACCCATAAAGAAAATGCCACCGTCAGGCTTCTGTGCGCGAGTTAGTTTGCGAATGGACGAACGGTTCCAAAGACTGCTCTGTTTTCCATGTGAGTCGGTGTCATCTGTTTGTCGCGCAGGCTTGGCACCGCTGAAGGCCATCCCTGCGGATTCCAGAGAGAAGATTGAGAAGTCCCTGCCACTGTTACCCAAGTTTGGGTTGCATACAGCAGCTGCTTACCTGCGCAGCTACATTGACAGTACACAGAATGAGGCCGGACTGAGTCAGTCACAAACACCATGCGATTGTTGTGGTTCGTGAACATGTCTTTAGCTGAGAACTTGTATCCCCGAGGACCCGCTCCTGGATGTGAGTGCGTGCTTGGCCAGCATTGTTTCTGACACGCAAGCTCTTGCGATCAGTCACACTCCCAAATTCAAAGAAAACTTTTCACGTGTGGCAGCCGCGGGCCAAGGTGTCGCGGCCGTCAGTCTCTGACAGAGCCTGTCGGGCCGCCAGCTACTTTCCTGGAACCGTTTGCCAACAAACTCTCGAATCTTTACTGCATGTAACGGACCCGGTTTCTGTTGCTTGGGGTCGCATGCCATGTCCAGGTTGTGTTTAAATGCGTTGTCCTGCGTCAGGTTGCGCAAGCCGGACTCGGATGAGAAAAAGCAGGTGAAGCACTACACTGCCCGAACAGCCGAAAGGACTGTGTACCGTGCCGCTGCAAGTGCATGGGCACGAAGTGTTCCGTGGGACGAAGCCGAGTCCCTGGCTAGGGACGCAGTCGATCGTGTCCGGATGGGTGCACGCCGTGGCAAAGGCTCAGGAAAAGCCCAGAGGTCTGAAAGGCCTGCCGCGCGCAAAGGCCGTGGTAAAGGTGTTGCTAAAGGCTAGCCTTGGAGCACGAAACGCGGCTGGCACAAGTCTCTGTCTTTTAGGAAGGACTTTTAATTAGTAATTTAGGCTCCGTCATCACGCGAAATCTGCCCAAAACCTGAAAATCAAGTATTAGGTTTAGATTTGTCTGTCTCTATTTTCTGATGACTGCCCCTAAATAAGGACTGTTCTCTAAGAACTCAAAGTCCCGAAATCTAGAATAAGCCGTTCCGCGCAAAAACTTCGGTGACAAAACGAACCTTAGCTGGCCTTATGCTTCCTGAAACGGCAATTTCCGCCAGATGTCCGTGAATCATGTTTTTGCAGTTTTCAGTATTATGAGGACTGTTGCCTGTTCAGAAGTCCCTTGAATTTGAAGTTGAAGCCCTTCCGATCACAAAGTTGCCTGCGAAACCTAGTTACGTTTTCCAGGAGCCAAAATCAAAAAAAATTGGGGTGCGGCATGGACATTAAGGGAGCAATGGGTGGGTTTGACAAAATCATGCAGCGGCGGGCTGTCAATTAGGCCACTCAGATCAGACACTGGCTGGCACCGCAGCCTGGAGGGCAGTCGGTGTCAAATCCCAGCTGGCTTTGGACACTGAGAGCACTATTTTCATCAAGCCGACTTCATTCAAAAAAACTTAAGGATATCTTCAAACTCAGAAAAGTATGCACCGGTGTCCGATCCCAGGTCGGATCGGACACCCCTGGCCTGCTTGGGAACAGTGCCTCCGAGTGTCGGATCCCAGGTTGGATTCGACACTCCCAGGCCCGTTCCTGATGAACTCTCGGGAGTGTCGGATCCTGGTGGTGCTCGGAGTGTCGGATTTTGGCCGCGGCCGGAGTGTCGGATTTCGGCCGTGGGCGGAGTGTCGGATTTCGGCCGTGGGCGGAGTGTCGGATCTCAGGTCGGATCGGACACTCGCGGGCCGACCCTGTGCAGTGTAGCAGGAGTGTCGGTTTCCGACTGGCTACTTTCGCGGTCCGGGCCCGCATGAGACCCGATAATCCGGCCTGACTCAGGCCCGCGAGTGTCCGATCCCACATGAGATCCGACACTCCGCCCACGGCCGAAATCCAAAATTCGTTCACGGCCGAAATCCGACACTCCGGCCGCGGCCAAAATCCGACACTCCGCCCACGGCCGAAATCCGACACTCCGGCCGCGGCCAAAATCCGACACTCCGGCCACGGCCGAAATCTGACACTCCGGCCGCGGCCAAAATCCGACACTCCGGCCACGGCCGAAATCCGACACTCCGGCCGCGGCCAAAATCCGACACTCCGGCCACGGCCGAAATCCGACACTCCGGCCGCGGCCGTATGAAGTGTGGGTTAGAAAGCGTTCTGGGTTTGGGGGCGTGTTTGGGATATTAGTTTGGGCTGGGTGCCAGTTTTTTTCAAAATATTTCGTGGAAACTCTCAGGACCAGGTCTGACTGGCATTGTATATTTTATGCCATGGTTTATTGTGAGTGTGTGTTTATCCATAGTCTGCAGTTAGCAGTATTTATTATAATTAGTATTGTTTGTAATCTGTTACGTTATAAAATAATACTAATGTCATACGACGAATGGTTTTCGGGGAAGCCTGCGTCATGTGCGGAAGATCAGTTATTTATTCATAGAAACGGTTATTAATAGCTTCTTGTTGCTATTTCCTGCTCCTTTACTTAATTCTTTATGGTGATTATGAGCACTGATTCGTTACATTTGTATTTTATGATTCGTGCTAGATTTTCGGGCGAGCGTTTCTCGCGTGCACACCTGAGAGAATCCCAAGGCAATCAGTGATGCGTAGATTATCCTGACTGAAATCACATAGTCTTCGGGTCAAGGACTGACTGACAATCGGAATGTATGTGTTTCAGAGTCTGACTCCGGCCGCGTTTTGCTTGCCATCCTCTGACTCTGACGTGCAGCCAGGGTACCCTGGTACGGATGGCCGCTCTGTGCCGCACGAGGGTCCGTCCGTCGTGTGAACAAAGATCCGAGTCTTTGTGTTTCCCATGTGCTGCCGCAACAACATGTCCTTGTATTACGAGTTGTCTTCTGGTTGTGCGAGCAGTGATACAGATTCGGCCGGTTCCACGGCAGTCCAGCAGGCTCAGGTCTAGGAGCTTTTCTGTCTGCGGCAGTGAGCCGGACTCATGCCCGCGTAGAAGAGGCGAAAAAGTGGAGGTGACGGCTCCGCCAAAAAGCGGGCTGCTGAGTCGGCGGAGGAACGTGCCAGCCAGGAGGAGCTGGGAGAGCAGCCGCATGTCATGCGGGTCACGGCTTGGTCGCTCGTTGAAAGTTTAATGCTACATCATAGTCATAGTTAGTTTTTTATTATCATTAATTATTATGTAGTTTGCTGAAATCACCAACATTCAATGCCTGGGTGTGAGTCTGAGTCTGTTGGCTGGATGAGACGTGAAAAAATATCGTTTGGCATTCGTCTGGTCTGATGGTGAAAGTTGATTCTGAGTCTGGTCGTCACAATTGAGGTTCCGGGACGTTGTCATGCCAGCTGGAGGTCCTGATCGGTACTTGACCCAGAAGTACCCCGACGAGGCTGTTGTTGCTTGGGTTTTCTGCTTATCTTCCCCCGCAAGTCATTGGTCCTTGATTCTGAGAGTCCAGTTTTGTCAGGAATCCATGATGGACTTTGCTGCTTGGATTGACAACCTCTGCCCTGCGACTGGCGAGCTGCTTGTCAGTCAACGGTCGTGTTTTCGTGTTTGCTGCAGGTCGTCAGCTTACTTTCATTTCTTAGTCGTGACAAATAATTAATGTCAATTATCATATTATTTAATCTTTGAGGACATATGCCACGGACACGGACAAGCCGGCAATGCTGCGCCCGTGGATGTTGTCCTGGCGCAGTGATTATGGCTGCAGTGGTGTTTTGGACCCTGAAGTAGGTGAATGTCTCTTAGAGCTCATTCTTTGCCGGGGGCTGCTGGGCAAACATTATGGGACAGTCAAGTCATCATGTCATGATAAGAGTATTTCATGCTGGTCTGCTGGTTTCCTTGTGATGTCAGGTTCCAATCCAACCCAGATGCGGGTGTCGCCATAGAGAAACTGGCCTGCACAGCCGTCCCGGACGCATTTCTCGAAGGTGCGAGGACCGCTTGCAGAAGTTTGCATCCAGGGAGCGGCTTGGCATATCAAAGATGTTACTCAGTTTAAGCTGGGGGCCCGCCGGTCTGATCAAGCAATCTCGTTGCGCCATCATTATTTTGAGTCTGAGGTGCACTTCTCACGCCGTTCTCGGTCGGGTACGTGAAGGGGTGGAAGCGGAGTGTGTGCCTGTTGGCGGCCCTTCAGGCCATACGTGAGTTGGACCTTGAAGCACAGGTTCCTGCGGCAGTCCTGGTCACTCGTCCTGACGCTGAGTGCGTGAGCTGAAGTTTCGTGGCAGCACCACACTGCACGCCCCAGATCCCAAGGCGAGCTTCCGCAACATCTGTGCGACCTTTGGTGCTTTCAGTGACACCAGGTCGAAGGTTCTGGCCAACCGAGGTCGGAGCCGTGACGTAGAACTTGCTTCTGGTAGTTTGTGCAACTTCGAATAATGCCAGGAGCTACCATGGCTGCCGCCGCGACTCGCAAAGCACCCAACTGCTTCAACTTCTTGCGTCAGATCAACATCCTCAGCCGTGCTGGTGGTGGCACAGCCCAGAGTCAGTTGCAGGAAGCCGCGTGTTATGTATCCACTAGTTAGTCACTTAGTCTAAGTCTAGTGCTGCTTGGATTCGCGTCTGAGTCTATGACTCTCGAGCTGTATTTTGTACCGCCTGGTTTGTTGCTCGTGAACAGCAGATGCTCGCATTTGCCGTCAATTTTGTGCAGGATTGGGAGAGTTCCATGAAGGTTGCCAAAGCCTTCTCCATCGGAGCCCAAGAATCCAAAGCGATCGTGAATTTGGTTTCGAAGATGCGGTCCGACGTCCGGACAGCCTTGCTGGAAGCAGTGAGGCAGAGAGGCATGGCAAAACTGCTGACGCACGAGGCCCCGCCGATTGAATTCTGAAGTCAAACAAACTGAGGGTTGAGAGTGGGTTTGAGGCAACTTCGGATTCAGGTATTTTGTGATTACTTACGAGTTTTCATGTTGTAGTGCTTGCCAGTACAGCAGGCTCCCCACAGATTTAAGGTTCTCGAAACACCTCGCAAGTGACCGGAGCCGGACGTGGAGCAACCCCATGTGATGCAGGTCAATGCTGATTTCGCTGAATCAATCACAAACCTTAAATAAGTCAGTCAGTGTAGATCCCCATGCTGCGTCAAAGGCATCTGCAGTGTGTTGCGTCATCCGGATCAGAATCTCATTGCCATGATGATGCTGATGCTGGTTCGTGCTTGTTGTCAGTTTGTGGTGAAAGTGGTGCTGTGGATGTTTTTAATTCATCATTTCAGGGAAAACATCATAACTGTCAAAGCCCGAAGAGTCAGTTTGGCAGGCCATCAGCAAGGACATCTTCAATATCTCGTGGTCCAGCGCTGTGGGACCTGCTGCTGCTTGGGAGAAGCAACTCACGAACAAAACAAACAGTTCTGAGTTGGTGCCTCGCCTATGTATGCTATGCAAGACAAACTTCGACTAACTAATCATTTTGTCACTGTGTGCGGGAGAGACATTCATTGTTGACTTGAGTTAGTGCTGTTATATGACGTGACTGAGTTGATGCTTCTGATCCAGAGAATGTGCGGCGAGTACGATCAGAATGTCCCTTCCATGCGAAAGGCTTGGGGATACCAGGTAGCCTTGGCACGGCACCAGGTGTGCGGAGCATACCTGCACTTCAGGGCCTTGATGGAGAAACGCATCCCTGGAGGGAAATGGAAGGAGGTGCAAACTTCCTTGGACTCCCAGTTTCAGTACGGCTTTCTCGATGTAGACTTGAGCCACGTGCTTTGCAACGAAGTGCCCCCGGGCAGCCTGGAGTCCATCAGCGCATGCCGGTGCCCCGGCAGTCAGTATGAAAACTTTCATCATCCAAGTGCTGTTTGAATCTTTGTCTTCAGCAACGAGTGGTAGTACCACTAGTTACAAGTGTTGCGAGTTACTAGTACTACTTACTACGTAGTAAGTAAGTAAGTAACAGTAGTACAGTAACTGTACTACTGTTACTTACTTACTTACTACTTACTACTACTACTACTACTACGGTCCAGTGCCAGGTTGGCCAGGCTCCGTGATGCATTCAGGAATAACGCTCTAAACAATTACTATTGATCGAAGTGGTAACAACTTAAAGCTTGATCCTCGTATCCTAACAAATTAATCGGGTCTATAGGTCCCACCAGGTGGTATCAAGTGACACTTGGAATCACTATTAATTTATTACTAAGATAATTTCTTCGGCCTGGTCTTATCCTGATAAGCGTTATGGGGTCCATGTGTCCATGATAACACGTGGGTCCCGGTATCTTCACTCTTCATGTTGGGGGGGGCTTGGTACTGCAATCCTTCTGGGTCCTGGTTTCCTCAGAGGGGTCCTGCCCTAAAGGAATTCCGAACTATAAACCAGTACTACCTCCAAATTACAACTAATACTTTAAGAGCTCAGAGCGAGGCTGTAAATAATATTTAGATTTGGCAGGTCGATGCCATGTCCGAGTCAGTCCATGCAATTCCGACAGGCGAAGGCAAATCCAACAATCTTCATGTGCTATGCCGGCTATCTGATACAGCAGGAAGCATGCAGCAGGAGAGATGATGGCACACATCAAGACAGTGAGCTTTTAATGGCTGGTGCATGTCGCAGCTGAACTCGAATTCCCATGTGCATTGTCGACAATCTGTCAAATGATGGCTGACTGACCAGTCAGTGTCATTTCATGGTCGCACGGAACTTTCGCGGCGTGAGCGTGAACTTGACAATTAGAACGCGGATGTGCAAGCACGCGGCCATGTTCGTCCAGTTGGCATACTGCAGTGAGGGGTCATCGTGCGTCCTGCAATGCATGCAGAATAATTTAATCTTGACCGCACGTTGAATTGGCGATGTGTGGGGATGCGTGACTGTGCCATACGTGGCATGCTAACACACCACTATATTCGGACACTGCGTTTTCAATAATAAATATTGCAATGATGACCGGTTGTCGTGCGTCATGACAAGACATGCAATGCATGCGGATCCTGATCGCATGTTCAATGGGCCATGGGTTTGGACGACTTCAGGGTGACTTTGGGGCTCACTGACTGGCTGGGCTGCTGTTATCCGCCTAAAGCCTAGTAATGGGTGGTAGCATGGCACCGTTGCATTCCAGCCTGGCGTCGTAATGAATTTATGATGAATATAATAGTTAGTTGTCGTGCTGTCGTGCTATCTGAAGTTTTACTAAATTTAATTGTCACCCTCCTGGCAGTTAATTTGTCAGTTACTACTACTACTACTACTACTACTACTACTACTACTACTGACTACTACTACTACTTACTACTACTAGTACTCCTACTACTACTACTACTACTAGTACTAGTCAGTACTAGTACTAGTACTAGTACTAGTACTAGTACTAGTACTAGTACTAGTACTAGTACTACTACGACTACTACTACTACTACTACTACTAGTACTAGTACTAGTACTACTAGAACTATTACTACTTTACTACTACTACTACTTCTACTAACTGTTACTACTACTAGTTAGTACTATCACCACGAAGACTATTATTGCTGTTGCTGCTGACTGCTACTAGTAACAGTTAGTTACGGTTGGTGCTGGTTAGTGTTATTCTTTGTCTCCTTAGAATTCAGAAGTGGTCTCACACTAGAGAAAAGTCAAGAAAGAATAGCAATAACCAGCACCAAGAAAGATCAGTAATAATAATAGTAGTAACGGGGTCGAGGGTTCAGGCTTCAGGGTTTAGGGGTTTTAGGTTTAATATAAACAATTATTATTATTACTGAGTAAGCATGGAGTACGGTTGCGGTGTGTTAAATTAATAGTCAGACTACTTACCATGATTTAGTTCGTTCTGATCCCAAAATGCTCAGGCCCTACCTGCGGCAAGTCGAGATAGCGGAGGACGAGAAGAAAAGTGCGGAAGCGGAGAAGATGAAGAAACAGGTTCGGGAGGCCAGCTGTCAGCAGCTCATGGCCCAGATCGAGAATGACATGGCGCAGTTGCATGGACGGGACATGAACAAGCACAGGGCAGCGCGGGAAACAGCTTTGGATGTCAAGTACATTCGTGACCGGCAATCGTTGCATGCAAGAATTAGTTGCACGCCATGTTAGCCAGTTGACATCGTCCCGGGAGTGCTGTTCGAACTAAGGCAAGGACACCTGTTCGTCGAGAACTTCATGAAGTCTTCGTGTCAACTTCTTCGTTTGGAGGAAGATGCGGATTTCGTGAAATCCGCGATCCTGAACAAGTTCTTGTCTTACTGCGAGGAATTCCGTGGATGTGCTGGCTCGGTGTTGCAAAGTTGCACTTTCATATCCACGAGGGCTGCAGGGCCAAGTCATATGTTGCTGGGCAGTGCTCTGACTCAGGTATGTCCTGGTGCTTCTGGATTTCACCGTGTTTCCAGCCAACGGGCTTTACGTGAAGCAAGCGCTGGACGTTTGCTCCAACGTCCTTGCGCTTTCCCAAACGCATGCTGCGCACGTGCAATTGCCTTTGGTCCAAAAGCAAACGTCAACGGCGGCTGCGGTCAAGCATCGCAGAAGCGTCGAGGATCACTTCATGAAGGCGAACGTGTCCCTGCGGGATGGAGTGTCCCTGCTGTTCTCCAAAGACCTGGATGCGACAGCTTCGGACCGTCGCGCCCTTTCCCAATCATGCGTGGCGTGCATGTACGAGGACTTCAAGGAGTGCTCCTTTGTGAAGCGGCTTGCCTGCATGGCCTGAATTAGTCCTGTCTGCAGTGTCTTGGAAATTGCCTGGTGTGAAAACCCGAGGAGTGCAGCGGTCACGGAGGGTCGCATCGGACCAGTGCCGTTGATCCGGGTGAGTGAATTCATTGGCTACGATGATTTGCTGCGACCAGGGGCGGCGGCCCGTGTGGAACAGCAACTTAGTAAACATATATTTGTTTGTTGACGGCATTGTGAGTGACGGTAGCGTGTATGCCCCTGTTGCACAACTAGGCTACCTTCTGAAGCACATGTCACTTTACTTTGTACTTAGTGTGCAGACGAGAGTCCTTGTACACATCGAGACGTCGTGTTGATGTTGCAAAGTTCCCACCATGATTTATCAAGGTCATTGCTCAGTCTGTCGGTGCACTGAGGAAGGGCGTCCCGTGCCATGCCGCCATTATAGATGCGTACTTCAAAGGCCTTGAGATCGAGGAGAAAGACCGCTGCATCATCTTTGATTTGCTGCCAAACAAGTCTGTGACTGAGGAGGGACGACTGATTGAATCACTGGTCAGTGTTGGTCCTTTAGCAAGTGCGTGCATTAGGCTTAGGACTAGCCAGTCCTTTAGCATGCAGAATTTGCACGGGCCGCAATCGATCGCGTTGTTGACTCAGCCAGCCCCGCAGACCCCGAAGTATGTGGGCGTTCTGAGGGCGGATCAATTTGATGACATCAACAAGTTCATGCGCAGCAAGATCTTCAAGCAGTGGGACCAGGCCGCAGATGCCCCCCCGAAGCAACGGCCTCGCTCGGAGACCGCAGGGCCTGCAACGGACATCCAGCTGGATGTCTTGGCATGCCATCGTGGGCAGGCGACTTGGCCAGCGGAGATCCTGCAGAAGTTCCCCACGGGAACACCGGAGTACCAGAAGCTTGCGGACCTCAAGGCAAAGTTTGACAAGGACTTCCCGAGCGCCCCCACGCAGCCACCTCGTGATGCTGAGACCCGTGCATCCGGAGCTTGTGATTACTCAATCAATGGGGGTGTCAGGCCCGTTGACTTGGAACGCACCGTGGACCTTGAAAGCTTCCCTCTGGACTCTATCCCGGAGGATCGGTTGCTTGGCGTGTATTGGAAGCATCACAGGTTATTGCTCGAGTGTGATCCGGTCTCATTTGTTGCAGATGTAGCCAAAAAGTGTCAAAGGTGGGACTCACACCGAGTCGAGTGAGAGTGGACTCTGTAATTCCTTGCAGTCAGTATGCTTAGCAGCCGGATTGTCATGACGATTGACTTTACTAATTTTTAACATTCTTAGTTTGTCTTATTATATTGACTCACTAGTTGCTTCTTGGGCCTATGGGCCGCACGTGATTGATTGCTGTATACTCGTCCATAACTTTTATATGCCAGTCTCTGAGACTGCGAACAAAACGCTGAACTTTGGTTTCGGGGTGACACGAGAACTTCAAGTTAAATTATCTAGTCATGCTAAGGCTAGTTAATTATTGCTTCTCTATTCCCAACTGCTGTCTTCTGAAACCACTGCCTAGTATCTTTTGATTCAGAACTGTAATTAGCTGTGGACTGTTATTCGTTGTGACATTGTGTTTTGGCTCATGGTCTGTCTCAGTTTGCATCCTGCTTACCCGTGGTTCATTGTCGCGAATTACTGCTCTCGTCTCCCACGGTTGTTTGTACGTTTTTTACAGTCGGAGGAAGACAGCTTGGGAGCTGTGCACAAAGTCATTCTGAGATGATGTTCCAAGGCTGGGTCACATGGCAGGCAAGGCTGGCAAGCCTGCAATTGCCATTGGCAAATCCTATGCTCTCTACATGGGGAACGCCACAGACGCGGACATGTGGGTGACTCCTGGAGAGCAGTTTGGATTTGGGACTGGCCAATTCAAGGACAAGATCGTCGGCTGCCTGGCTGTGTCTTTTCAGTTGGGATTCAGGAGGTCAGTTTCATAATAATTTACAATTAAATTAAATATGGGCTGCCGTGTGGCTGTGGCTGAGTCTCTGTCTTTCCGCTTGGGCCAGATGAGTTCTCGGAAACATTATGCCGGCCAAGTTGTGGCTGATGGGTGAGTCGTTGTGCTGTGATTGATTCCAAACCAAGACGATGGCTCCGTTGAATCCGGCGGCCTGGCTTTCCGGCTGTCGAACGATCTGGAGTACGTTGCTCTCCGCAAGGAGCCCCTCCCGCTTTGCGAGCTTCTCCGAAGGTTGTGTGACGAGAACGGCCTGGGGGAGATCGACCTGGAGAGTCACGTGTTGCAGTCAAAAGTCTGGCCGAGCGCAGCTTGTCATAATATTATTTTGAATTTTGTTGCGGTGCTGAAATCACGTGATCATGTCGCCTTCTCTTAGTCAGTCTTGTGTGATTGAGAAGATCGCATTATGCGTTTTATTCATGATCCTTCCGCAGCTGCTGTGCTGCTGGAACCAGGTGTAGGCAGTGCCGCCTCGTGCGATGTGTGAGCCGTGGCATCAGGATGTTGACTGGGCAATATGCGTGGGCTGTGCCACGCAATTCATTGCCAGCGGTCACAGACACTGCTGCGGCCGTTGCCGCGAGAGTGGTGGACTGAGTCACTCACGAGGGTGCCTCAGAAGGCGTCGCAGGGCTCGCCGACTTGTTGGCGATAGCTATCGCTACCAGGACGGCATATGTTACACCTCGCAATGCAACAGGCATGCTGGCGCAGGCTACAGTTGCTGCTGCTCCTATTGCTTCGAAACGCACGGACGCCTCCACAGCGTCCGCTGCCAGAATCGTGGTCGTGGCCGTGCTCAGGGCGCTCAGGGCGTTGACCATGGACAGCAGAGTTTGGGAGCAAGCGCAGGTGCCAATGTTACTGTTATTACAGATGACCAAGGCCCTGCAGAGCATGACGATGCAACTGCTGCAAGCTGCGCCGCATCCGAAGCCGTTAGTGGTGCCGCGGTTGCAGCAGCGCCAGATGGACATGGCCAGTTCGGCCAGGATGATGTTGGTTCCGACGAGCAGCAGTTCCAGGCCAGTGCACAGTGTTTTGAGGACGGCCGGGTTACAAGCGACCTGACACTGAATCTGAACAGCCTGGATTGAGCGTTCCGACGGCTGTATCGTGCTCAGCTGCAAAAAGAGCAAATCCATTCTGAGTGTGCCAGCCTGTCAGTCCAGTGTTACAGCATTTAAAAGTTACTTACAGTTACACTTGACTTAACATTACTTGTGATTCGCTCTTCGTGCCAGCAGCATCATCCTCAGAGCCAGCATCAGAATGTACATTCGACAACTAATATTATTTATAATACAACAAATAATAATAACAGTTAGTTATATGTTATTTAATAATATACTAAATAATATGTATATACATAATATATATGATATATCATAAATTAATAATATATATATATATATATATATATATATCATATATTATTAGTAGAAATATGATTTAAAATATATATTATATAAGTCTTAGAATATATATATATACTGAGTATATTACATATATTAGGTTAATTTGGCACTTGCAGTTTTGGGCTCCTGAGGCGTGGTGTCCTGTCCATTCGGGGGCTGCCGGCACCAGAACAAAGTCCTCGGTGCATCTGAGGCTTCTAATCAGGGGTTCTGCTGTAGGCTTAAGCGACTTAAGTTTTGGCCATGTCGGCAATTACTGGCATCGCTGCAAGCAGATGCACTTGCTTTGCAGTAACAAGCGGATCAGTGCAGCAGACCGAAGATTCCTTTGCTTTGATCCGACCCGACGGCACTGTTGCCACCTGGGGCGGCCGTGGTGGTGGTCGCGTCAGCACTGCTGTGCAGGATCGTCTGATCACAGTGAAGGCAATCCAGGCCTCCGATTGTGCCTTTGCCGCCATCCGTGGCGACGGAACTGTCGTGACATGGGGCAGCGAGCTCGGGGGTGGTGACAGCCAGGCTGTGCAGGATCAGCTTCAACATGTTCAGCAAATCCAGTCTACGGAGCTGGCATTTGCAGCAATTCGGTCCGACGGCTCGGTTGTCACCTGGGGTTATCCTCACTGTGGTGGCGACAGCAGTGCGGTGCAGCATCAGCTCCAAGAGGATGTGGTTTGCATCCAGAGTTCCAAAGAAGCCTTTGCGGCGATCAAGGCCGATGGATCTATCGTGACCTGGGGCAATGCCAACCTGTTGCTGTCAACGACTTCTTCGATGCCGAGGGCAATCTCCATCAGTGCAGCTTGGTGGGCCTTCGCAGCCATCCAATGGGATGGCTCCGTCTTCACCTGGGGACAGCCAAAGTATGGAGGTGACAGCAGCGCTGTGCAGGATCGGCTGCAGGAGGTTCGAGCGATTTCAGCATCGGAAAGAGCATTTGCGGCACTGCTCGCCGACGGCTCCGTAGTCACCTGGGGTGACGCTTATTTGGGTGGCGACAGCAGCGCAGTTGAAGAGCAGTTGCGGAACGTGAAGGAGATCTGTGCTGCCGGCGATGCTTTCGCGGCCATCTTGGAGAACGGAACGGTTGTCACTTGGGGTGATCCCATGGAGGGTGGCGACAGCAGTGCAGTGCAAGACCAGCTCACGAGTGTGATTGCTGTGCAGGGCAATTGTGCAGCTTTTGCAGCCATCAAGGAGGATGGCTCAGTCGTCACATGGGGCGAAGAAAGTGTCGGTGGTGACAGCAGAGCCGTGCGTGATCAGCTGCGCGGCGTAAGTTCGATAGCAGCTGGCCGAGTGTACTTCGCCGCCCTAAAGGGCGGCGAAGGCACTGTGGTGCAATGGCCAGAGATGTGAGCGGTTGAAGTTGAAAATGCACGAGTCAGTGTCGCAGTGCCTGCTTCGTACCCCAAAGCCAGAGCCCTAAACCCTTAAACCCTGAACCCCAATACCCTAAACCCCATTATAAAAAGTATAAAGTCAGATCAGGTGTAGAGCACCTACGAACAACAGGGCAAATCCATGCGGTTGCATAAGAAACCCGTAACCAAAAACCCTAAGCTCAGATTCTTAATTCCACTAACCCCCTAAACCCTAAGCCCAAACTCACCTTAAACCCTAAAAGCCAGACATCCAAGGCAGATGGAGCCGACCCTGTACCCGTACCATTCCGGTATGAAGTTGCGGCCTTGGAGACGGGCAAGACGTACCTCGTGACGAGGAACGAGTTACGACTATGTGTGCTAGCTTACCTATTACTACTCGAAGCTATCGAAGGTAGCTTCGCTAGAAACGAAGTTTCGTTCGCTATCGTCGCTCGCAGGAGAGTTGCCTCTGACATGCGAAGACAGGATAGCAGTGACTTGGAATGGCTACGACGGTGTGTGACCGTGGCCATTCTGGATAAAGTCCCCCATCAGGGGGGGTAATTTTGAAGTAGTGGGGGATAGAAGGGGAACTTGGCTATCTAGCCAAGCGAGAATGGCCTCCCCGCGCTCCCCTTCTGCTTCGCGGACGGCTAGCCCACAGTCTCCGGCTACTACGGTGATTCCGGCTAGTCCTGGGGGCGAGGAGCCAGGGAGTCCAACCGTCTTGCCCACGGCTGAGCCGGAAGAGCAGGGCGTCGGACCGGCTACTCCCTCCGGAGGGATAGGGACCCCCATCGGTCTTCCGTCCTTGTTGGATAGCGCTCTTGTGCAGAAGCGTGCGGTGCTGGATAGATGCCATGAGCATCTGGCGTCGCGAGGCTTCGGTGTGCTTGAGCTGGCTACCCTCGGTCTAGAGGACGCGGAAGATATTGGGCACCAAGTGGCTGAGGAGCTGGGCGTTGGCTACGACGAGTACATCGGAGACTCGATCTACCTGTGGATACAAGAGGCCCAGGAAGCTAGAGACCTGGTGAAGAGATCGTCGGGATACAGAGCAACTTCGCTAGCTTGGGCTAACCTCAGCAAGCGGCCGGCGATCGAAGGCATCGACCTTCAGGAAGATAGCGAGCCGGAGCCCCCGAAAGGGGATAGGCAGAAGCGCTTGGTCAACGAGGGCTCCCTGGCGCAGGCTAGGGAGGAAAGGCTACAAGCAACCTGGGCTATTAAGCTCAAGGAAGAGCTAGAATTGTGCGAGGCGCCGGTGCTGAAGAAGCTACAGGGGTGCCTGGACCCGGATAGAGCGGTGTTGGCGCTAGCGGGGAAAACCCGGGCTAGCACTCTCAAGCGCTACGTCTCGATACACGTGAGATGGCGGCTATGGCTACGGGAGGCTAAGAGTGGACGCCCCCCTGGGCTACCGGCCGACCTGGCCGACTACATCATGGCTAGGGGCGACGAGCCCTGCGGGCGAACGGTCCCCGAGGCGATCCTCAAGGCCATCAGCTGGATAGAGAGGGTCGCGGAATGGGCGACCGAGTCGAGAGCTACCTCAGGCAGGATAGCGTGGGCGATCAAGGATACGGTCGTCGAGAGGCTATCCTGGAAGGCGCCCTGGACGCGGCGGGCCCCCCGATATCCTGCGGCTATCCTGGCTAGGTGGGAGCGCCTGGTCCTGGATACAACTGTGGCCGTCGGCTGGAGAGCTTGGGCCTGGGCTAAGCTCCTAAAGGTTTGGGGCAGCTTGCGATGGTCGGACCTCCAGGCTATGGTCCCAAACGAACTGGCTATGGTGGAAGGTCGGCTATCCACCATCCTGCGACGGACGAAAACCACCGGGGCTAACAGGCGCATACGGGAGCTACCTGTATGCATCTCGGAGAGAGCCTACTTCGAGGACCCTGGCTGGCTACAGGCGGGCTTCGACCTGCTAAAGAACCACGCGGGCTACCAGCGGGACTATCTCATGCCAAGGCTAGGCGAGAGAGGCGCCCTGGAGAAGAAGATGGCTACCTACGCAGATGCGATGGTGGCAACAGCGGGGCTGCTGGCTATGGTGGGGATCCCGACGGTTGCCCGAGGCTACTGGTCGGAGCACAGTGAGAGAGCAGTGCTACCCACCGGGCTGAGCCTAAAGCCGATCCCGCCGGCAGATAGAGATATGCTAGGACGCTGGAAGCCCGCGGGCTCGGATACCTACATCCGCTCCTATGGCGGAAGGGTCGCCCGACTCCAGGCTACCTATGCAGAGGCGGCTAGGGCTCGGGACCGAGAAGAGCAGCTAGACGAGAGGGAGATAGCCGGCGATCTTGGTGGCTGGCTTTTCCGGACTGGCAAGGCTAGCGAGCAGGAAGCTGAGAAGCTGTCGGGAGAGCTGCGACGAGAGTGGGCTAGCGAGCGCATCGTGGAGATGGTGGCTGGTCCGGGGATACCTGAAGAAGTCGTGGCGAGCGATCCTCCCGAAGATAGACCCGACTCCTCGGCTAGTGAGCCGGAGCTGGGACCGGAACCCAACCGGAACCGGCCGAGGCAGCTCCTTAAGAAGATATCGAGCTATATCATAGTTGAGCTTCCAGGGAAGAAGTACAGGCTACACAAGGGGGGCCAGGCCGGGTGCTGGATGGGCCGCCGTAGGATATTTAAGAACTCCCAAGAGTTTTCGGCGAGGCCCGAACCCAACCAGTACACGCATGTCTGTAGGCTATGCTGGCCGAAAGGCCGAGGCGAAGAGTCCCCGTCTGGTGATAGCGACACCTCTCAGGCTAGCACCGGCGACCAGAAGCCGGAGCAGGGAGAGGAAGAAGATTTCGGAGAGGTCCCAGCAGCAGAGCTGCAGGGAGTACCTCCGGGGATAGCACCCCAGTTGCCGATAGCTCCGTTGCCGGCTATTCCGTTCGGCTGGGGACCGCCTTTTGCCTGAAGGGATAGAAGCGCCGGGAAAGCAGCGGGGCTGGACAACGGGGGGATACGTCCGGGGGGGGCCTCTCGGGATATACTCTTTCCTTCCCATCTCTCCGGGGGCGGCGGGCCCAGGGGGAGAAAGAAGGGGAGAGAAGAGAGGAGAGAGAGAGGAGAGAATCACGTTGTTGCACTTGCTGTCTTGTCTGCTGGCTAGGACGTAGGCTGGTTCTTAGGCAGGCTAGGCTGCATGCGCACATGTCCGGCTGAGTGTGCACTTGTGGGCTAGGGCACGGCACAAATGCACATGCTGCGGCTACTGTGGCTAGGGTGAAGTAACGGACCACCAGCTTTTCTGGAGAGCCCACGCTAGGTGGGCGAGCCTGCGTGCCCTCGGGCCGGCTAGCGGCACATGGCTACTGCCCCCAGCTGGGCAGACCAGACTGAGTCGGCTAGCGTCCAGGCGCAACGGATAGAAGTGCTACGCCTCTTAGAGGACTGGCTAGAGACTGACCCGGCGAGCTTGGCCGAGCAGATATACGATCGGCTAAGTCTGGATAAGCAGCACGAGCTTCTCCAGCTAGTGCGAAAGGCTAGAGACATGAGGCTAGCCGAGTGCCAGGAGGGAGCTAGCATACAGCCTGGCGGCCGGCTATCTGCCAGGCTACTCAAGTTCCAAGGAGCTAAGTCTTGGGACGATATCTCTGCGGAGCTCGAGGCTAGCCTGTCCACCACCGAGGCTAGATACCTTGAGCAGAGGATAGAGAAGAATCGGCAGCTGGCCGGGCTACGACCACACCGACCAGGGGAGACCCTGGAGGAGGATAGCGTCACGGATAACGAGCTGGAGGCTACACCGTGGCAGGGGGAGGCCCCGGAGGCTACCTGGTCTAGCGCCGGGCCGCCACCCGAACGGCTAGACATGCTACACGAGATGATGGCTAAGCTCAAGGAGCTAGAGGCGGAGGTCCGCGGCACGGCTACCCCTGTTGCTAGGCAAGAGGAGCCCCAGCCTGGGGCAGAGGAGGCCAGCACAGGGGATAGCACAGCGGCGAGGCCCAAGAAGCCGGCTAGGGACCCGCCGACGGTCCAAGAGTCCAAGGCTAAGAACAAGCTGCGGCAGGGGAGTGCAGCGGATAAAGAAGAAACGGCTACCACCCTGCCGTTCTCGGCTGGGCTAGACCCGGCCCAGGTCGTCAATCCGGGTCCGGGGCTACAGCAGGCTAGGGCAGCCGCGGCAGAGACCACGGCTACACCGCTAAGGGCGAGTACAGAGTACCCCGCCCAGGGCGAGAGCCTGAAGCAGTTTCTGGCTAGATGCATGCAGGGCTACCGTGGCCCGCCTTCGGACGTCCCGGCCTATGTGGCTAGGATGGAGGAGGTCTTCCGGATAGGCACCTTTCAGGACGGTCCGGATCGCAACCAGGATAGACAGCAGCAGCGGCGGCCAGGCAAGGGCGAGCCGGGATATGATCCCTTTCCGCCCTTGAGGCCGCAGGCTAAGAGCACCACCAAAGGACGCGGTGGGGATAGCGACCGTGGCTACATCCACCCGGATAGCAGCCACCCGCTGGACAGAAGGCTAGGAGCGGGCCGATACAACGAGGCCCAGTGGGAGGCTATGGCCGGAGACGGCCGGATAGCTCCGGAGAGGCCCGCGCTCCAGCAGGGAGCGGCGGTGAACATCAACCTGGATAGGCCCACCGAACGGCTACTTCGCGAAGAACCCGATGTGGTGCACCGGATAATGGCGCCCCCGCCAGTGGCTAGTCAAGCCAAGGGGCGACCACTCGGCCCGGATAGCGGCATGATCGATCAGACCTGGCCTCACCCTACCAGTGGCCCCTCGCTAGGATAGAAGGGCGGCGGTCGCCAGGATAGAAGGCTATCGCAGTTGTCGGATAGAGGCCGCGATGTCAGCGGCAAGGGGGCGATACACGACCCCAACTGGATATACAAGCTAGAGGATGAGGACTTCATCGCGGTTAGCACCCGGTCCGGCTACGCAAAAGAGCTAACAGAAGCGATCCCGGAACAGGGATGGATACTGTGCAGGCCCCAAGGGGCTACCCCTGGGGTAGGCCGATGGGAGCCTGCCGGGGCTATCTTCAGATGTATAGTGGTCTGTGATCACTGTCGGCTAGAGCAGTGCAACAAAAGGATGTGGTACTGCCTGGATACGCACGGGGATAGAGGCCATACGTGCAATAGCTGCCGGCCCCCGTCCGGCGGCCCGGCTAAGGGAGCTGGCAGGGGCCGAAAGGGCCCGGGCTAAAGCACGGTCGTATGGCTAGATCTCCCAGACTTGCGGCTAGTGACGAAAATAGCGGATAGTGTGTGGACCTCACTTCATGTCGGCTAGTGCTTCCGTTTGCCAGAAAGAAGAGAGTGCCAGGCTAGGTTTTCCCAGGGTACGTGAAACCTCGGACGGGGGGGGGGGGTC